CGACCTAAATAAGCGAAAGCCATATTGATGGCCAGAAAGAAAACGGCACGAAGTTAGACACTTACGAAATGAAATCATTAGCAATTCACCGTTGATTAAATCCCTTGCTACATTAACAAATTGCGGTACAAATCTAATGGACCGAGATGGATCAGGCGGTTCACACGAGTTTTTAAAACAGCGAAAACAGAAGAATATTACCGGCAAGCTGAGATGCATGACACAGCAATTAATTTCCTTTGATCATTTTGCCATGTCAAGAGGATTAATAAAAACAATGAAGAGTATAAAGTGGTGAAAAAATTGTGAAGGAAAGAAATTAGTAGGTAAGTAAAAAAGCTAGAAAACATAAAAGTTAAGGGAGTTAAATGAGGGAATGCTGGAAACGTATCAATAAGGTAGACAGGCTTTATATCCTGAGTTTTTATAATATATTTTTTTCCTTTTTTACATTATTATACACAGCTTACAAAAGCAACTATGCATACACCCGTACCCTGTTATTCTGATCTAGAGATATCAATGATTTTGCTTATGACAGTTCTGGAACATAACGGTAAACAGTGTCACCGTATCTGACACAGAAAAAAAAATGACATATGCTCTCGTGAAGAACGAGGTATCAGAAAAATGTTAAGAGTATGAAGAACATAACAATGTCGAAATGGAAGCCAGCAATTATTTAGAATTTAAGAAATCTTGATACTCTTTAACAGCTATGTGGTAAATTTTGTTGAAAGATCATTATAACGATTCGTACAATATTTTAAAGAGTCGATCTTCACAAACGCAACATTTTCTTATTTGCCAGGGTTTCGAGGTGAAGTTATAAAAGCTCTTAATTTCAGGCAGGCATAGTGTGTGTTACAGCGCTGAATTTCAAGTACAATTGACATGATTCCGTACTTAAATATCTGAATTAAAAGCTTGTTTTAATTTGCTTTCGGAGGAAAAAGTTAACGAAGGCAGAAGTATTTCGGTCTGCGTTACCTTTTGATTAGGAAAAACACTTGATGTATATTTGCAAATTTAAAATTTAATTTTTAAGAGATAAGTTTTTCACTCGCTGAACTTTCGCTTAATTTGGCACTGTATTCTTTCAAAGAAACAAAATTTGAAAATAATTACATATTTTCAGGTATCATTTTAGATTGCGAGCAAAACCGAAAATTTTCTTTTGTGCTCAGTAATGTTGTATCGCGTTTATATTAATTGCGTATATATTATCTTACATTAGGATGTATGTTATTACCCGAGACTCTTCATGAATTAATTATGAAATAAAAGAGAACACGCCTGTATTATTACATTTATACAGCAAGGGAAACTATTGGCTTTAATATAACTTTAATTGTATTACATATATTGAACTAGATAAAATATACTTACAGTAAAGTAATGCATCTATTTCTAATAACTGGGATTCTATTAAATTGCTTAGATGATGAGTTTCATTATAACACTTTTCATCTGGATGAAGAAATATAGTTGAATTGGTGTCGTTTTGGAAATGACGAAAATGGTGCTTGTGATTAGTGTCTATCACCTGGCACTCCAGAGTTCTTCGAAACATTTGTGCTCATATGTCTTTTTACCAGTTTTGGGGGCAGTAAAAGGTTTTCTCTTTACCCATGCGCGAAGAGATAGATCACGTGACGACGGGGCGGTCTCCCATTGGTCGATCCTGCCACCGGCCGCCCATACAAAAAGTGTAGCACCTGGAGAAGCGCCCTCTTTCAGCAGGCCTCACTGAGCGACACACGTGTGGTGTTTCCAGTCCAGACTTGATCTTTGACAGCAGCCATGAGACCAGATCTCTGGGAAACCAGTTTTCCTCTATTCTACCATTTGGTTAAGTCTGTCAGTCATTATCTCCACGTTAGGTAAAGACATGCGTATATTGTATATTGTTGTATTTGTTTAATGTAAAATAAAACCTGTTCTTTTTATAAGTGAGGCTTTTGGTTATCTTGTTTTGCTGATTATATTACACACCAGTGACTAAAAATCTCATACTTATACCAGTCTTAACTGAGCTACGCACACAATTGAATCTGATGGCGTTAGACGATTCTTTTTCCAGGGAAATAGCTTGAACAAACCACCTGTACTTATATGGTAACTGGCACATTCCGGAGGCTAATTTTAATCCACAACTCTCATTGCCGTAGACGACAAACTTACCCCAAACGTTCAGTACATTTCCTCACTCAAAAGTAGTATTTCGTGAAATATATATGTTCGATGGTTTCGCACACATCATCAGTGAAGTTACTAGACGAAGATCATTAGGAATTTTGGGTCTTTCAAAATTATACCCCCCACACTCCACGGTGACCCAGCAATTACTTACCGGGTATCGATTTTGTACCATCCGTCAGCTACAACTTTCCTCATTTTTAATCACACACTGCGACTCCTCTTGGCAATTTATGGACCAGTCACGGATAACATCCGGTTCAACAGCATTCTTCGCCCTTCAACCAAAAAAAAAAAAAAAAAAATGGAAGCAAACGTAGCAACCGTTTCGATCTGGGAAATATTCACAAATATACATGTCTTTGTCGCTTGTCTTGAGAAATGATAGGGATGTGCACATTTTGAAATTTTATGCCCTTTGATTACTTAGTAAGAGCCCTTAACCAAATAGTTTAATATAAATCTTGTGAGTAATCCCCCTTTCATTTTGTCCATTCTTCCGGGGTGGTACGATAATAATGTGCACGTGTAATTATCTTCATGTGTTTTAAGAAGTAAAAGGTCGGTCGATTATGGATATTTTTTTTTCAAAATGTGTACCTTAAAGTGTTTGTCGAAATTGCCGTGGTTCGTGATAAATTGTACCGCAGCTTTTGCTGATGTCGCATTATTATGTCAGACAGCATATGTTTGGCCATTAAGTCTTTTGTTTATTTTCTGAGCTGTGCAACCCTCATAAATCAAATCATATTTTGTAATAATAATAATAATATTAATAATAATAATATTAATAATAATAATAATTAGTATTATTATTATTTTTGTGGGTTTCTGTTGTGTACACATATCCTTCCGGATAAAGTCTAATGTCAGAAATGGAATCCCGACATCTTCCATTGATCATATTTTTTCTATAAAAAAAAAAAAAAAAAAAAAAAAAAAACCCACAAAAAAACAAAATGAACCTAATATCATACACATTTTATAGAGATACATATATCACTGATGGCCCTGTGTGAACTGTAGTAGTGAGTACAATTTTTTTAAAATTTTATTTCCTTAAGTCATGGGATACCAGGAATCCCAACAATTAGTCCACCGGAATCTTTTCAATCTGTGAGCTCCAAATGGAATTATTTAAGACACTATTATTATTATTATTATTATTATTATTATTATTATTAGTTACTTACTTAACGCACAAATCCGACCTCCCACCATGCAGCACAAGTCCTTTGTTCCGTTATGCGTCATGTCTCTTCAAGTTTTGGTGTTCATAACACACTATAACTTTCTTTTTGTTGTTGCTCGTAGTCCTTGTTTTGCTACCCGTTTATACAAGTTCGCTAACTAGTTTATTTGTCGTTTTTCCTTGATACTCTTGACTTTCATTATCCCTCGTGAGTGCTAGATTCCCCGAGTTTTCTTTTCTCATTATGTGCCTCGTAATTTTAATCTGTCTCCTTTTGATTACAATTATCAATTTTCTTATCGTTCCATTTTTCTTTAGATTTTTAAATGTTCTGTCCATGGGATTCATAGAGTTCAATTAGAAAATTACAAATTTGTCGTGTCGAACTCTTCTTTCTCTGTGAGCAGAATGCCCAGCACGCAGTGTCGGAGATTTGACATTACATAGCAATTCAGCCAATTTTACTTTGTCTTTGAATATATTTCCCTGGGTTTTATTTGCTAAGTTTAAACACAGCATTACCGTCCTGGGTAAGACGATAAACTACTTCCAGCTGCCAGACCTGTGAACAGGAGGTTTTGAGGAGCGGGGAACGTCCTGTTAATTGTTGGTGTTCCCATGTCCACCCTGACCCTGGGTGGTAGCACCTGTTAAAGTCCAAACTATGGGCAATATAGTTAACCCCCAAGGTGGGGTTAAAACACCATGAAAGCATAAAAATAGGATTTAATACCAGCAATAAATACTTTGAAGGAAAATTTATTACCAGCAGTACATTTTTGAAGAAAACGAAGACTACCAGCAATACATTTTTTGAGGAGAATGGTATTACCAACAATACATTTTTGGAAAGAAATATTATCAGCAATAAAAAATTTTTTTGGCATTAAATAACCCATCGAGGTGTTGATATGCCTTGAAGCAAAAGAAACTGAAACCTAAACACAGCATTATTCTTTTCAGAAAAACTACTATATTTAATGTAATCTGATATCTAATTATTTAATAAATTCATATTCGCATTTTTAAATAAGTAGTGTGGAACTTGCAATAAAGAAAATTATAAATATTATCAGTTATTATTTTCGTATATATTATGCATTATAGAAAGTAGGCTTTGCAGCATATTTAAACTTTAAATATGCCTTTTAAAGCATTTTTCTATGTGAAACTTGGTCACCTTTCATCTAAAAATAAACGTAAGGAAATCAAGGTGAAAGAAAATAAGAACCAGTCGGCTTTTAAAGAAAGTTGCCCTAATTTCTATGAGTTTTCAATCTTCTTTTTAAATTATAAAATAAAAAATCGATCCGTTTATTGGAGAAGGACATTCATGTTTTATGATCATTTTAATCAAATTAGGACCAAATGAAAAAAAATGGCAAAAAGGTAGAAAAAAGGAGAAAGAAGTAGAAAGTGTAGGTAAACAGCAATTAAATAAAAAAAAAGAAAGAAAAGAGAGCGGAAACATAAAATAAACAGACGAACAAAAAGAACATCAAAGAAAAAGTAGTTAAAAGGAAAAAGAGATTGAAAAGCAATTAAAAAAAAGCAAGTAAATAAAAGACAAAAAACAAACAAACATCAAACTACATAAATAAATAAAAACTTAATGAATGAAAGAAAGAATTAATGAAAGATGATGAAAAAGTAAAAAAGTAAAATATAGAGAGAAAAATAAAAAAGAAGGGAAGACGAAAATGAATAGAAAAACAAAAAAAAAGGATGGAGAATCAAAAGAAAAGAAAAAAGAAATGAAAATAAGAACCTAGCCAGAAACGAATGTATTCAAAAGTACATAGAGTAGAAAAAAATAAGAAAGAAGGTATGCAGTTCTTAAAGAAATCGAATTAATGAATTGATTTAGGAAATGAAGAAGTAAATAAAACTATGAATAAATAAAGAAGCAACGAAAGAGAGGAAAGAGAGTAAGTAGTAGACAGAAAAAGAATGCAAGAGGAAAGAAAGGTAACAAAAAAAGTAAGAGCAGAAAAGAAAATATGGCAAGTAAAATCAAGGCCAAACACAAGTAAATGAAAGTAAAAATTAAGCAAAAACACAAGCAAACGTAAAGAGAAAAATAAAAAAAATGGAAAATTAAAAGAATGAAACAAAAGTGTTGCAAACAACGAAAGAAAATGGAAGGAGTGCTTAAAGAAAATATAAAGTAAATAAAAATAGAAAAGAGACAAGAATAGTAAGCATGAAAATTACAAAAAAATCAAAGAGGAGCGAAAAAGAAAGGTTTAAATAAAACGTGAAAAAAAGAAAAAAAAAAAATTATGAAAGAATCAACCTTGTTAAAATTAAATAAAACAACGAAAAAGAAAATAACAGAAAATAGAGTAAATACGAACCATCGAAAAACTAATCGAAAAACGCGGGAAAATAAAAAAGTAAATTAGAAAAATTACGAGTCAATGAAGAACACCAAAGAAAAATTAATAACAATAAAATACAAACCAAAAAGAAATTAAAGAAAAAAATATTTTAAAACACATCTTTTAAACTTTAGCAGATACAGTGAATGATTTTTCGATAAATGCTATTTAAAGATGTAAATAGACTAAAAATCTGATTTTCAATCGATAATTTGGCCAACAGAATTCTTTTCTTGGGCTCAAGAAAATTTTAATTAAATTTGACGTGCTATGCCCATCTTTGCCCACGCTTACTAAGTGTCTCTGTTCAGATTGAATATTGATGAGAAGCTAGTGAATAGACAAAGGACGAATAAGGAGGAAACTGAAGAAAAGTGGAATTAAACTTCTTTTTCTTTTCTTTTTTTTTTTTTATAGGAGACGGGTTTTTCCGGGATATGTTTTAATTATTGACGCTTTTTTAGTATTTCTTTGATTGAAGTGTTTCATTTTCACTCTAAGCACGACTACTAAAGCAGATCGCTTACCAAAAGCTACGTCTTTCAATTTCGCTACCTGGTCAACATTTGTATTGTGTGGAAACCAGTCAATAGTCGGCTTCATTGGAAATTAACGTATCAAATGATTTCTGGTTTGATGGAAACTTTGCAACGAATCCCACAACACATACTGTCTCTAGACTAATTCAAACACGTTTGTTTGTCACAATGTTTTGGCTGCTTCATATTCCGATCTTTTGTGATTCTTGATGGGGGGGATCTTATTTTACCAGGGAATCTCGCCTTCTTGTTTGTTGCTGATTCATCAATTCACGGACAACTAGAAAGATTTCGCCACATCTGTTTTTTTTATATATATTTTTTTTACTTTCTCGCGGGACATGTGACCTCAACCGGTTCTGTAAAAATATCGTAATTGAGAAATATCAATTTCCAACACCGTGTATTGGTGTTTATTATTTAAACCATGTTTTTTTTCTCGTTTTATATTTAACCTTATATTTCTCTCCTTTTACTACAGCCACAACGTTACAAATGGAAGGAAGTTATTTAAAGTAGTCGAATATAAGAAGTTGTGGAGTGTACTGAAATGATATGAGGGATAGACAAATAAAGCCACATGCTGGATTAGTTGTTGAAATTGATTTATTATAGGAATCGTATTAATGCTGTTTGAAGAATACTTTCTGTTTATCACAGAACTTGCTTAATTCCCCCCCTATTATACGCCGGGAATTTAACGCCATTACAATATTTCCGTTTTAGAAGTACAGCACATCATAATTTTGAATATTAAAAAAAATGCTACCTTAGTAATACAAGAACACAAATTATTATAAAGAAAATAGCTAGAAGGAATGTAAATAATTAATCAACGTAGAAAGAATATATACCAAAGGCACGTCTTCATATAACCAAACTTCGTGCAATCTATACTTAAAAATGTAAAATCAAATTTGCAGTTTATATAATCTCTTTTTAAAAATTCACTTCCAAAAATTTGACATATTTATTATACTGCCTAAATACACTAATATACACAATATTTGTTATATATTTAAGTTACGTTAAACATTTAAGAAAAAGAAACATACAGACATCATAAGATAGAATAGTGACGCTGACACAACCAATGAAAACAGAGAAAACAGAATTTAATTTTTGATACATCCGGTACACACTAGCGCTGGTACATTGGCTGTAAGAATTTATGCTTAATACTTCTATATTGAAATGACTACATGTAATGGTAACTTCTATCATAAAAGTTTCTTTTCTTGTTCTTCTGGCTTGGAGAATTCTCTTCCGGCTTCTGGTTTTTCAGTTACGTTTGATTTTCAATAATGCAATGTCAATCGTTATTTTCTGTCTTCTTAATTTCTGTTTTGTTTTGTTGTTTTTGCTCCTTATTTCTTGTATTCTTCCACACACAATAAAACTCTGTATCTTAGTAGTTTTACTACCTTTCTTGGGGTGAAAAGATTTAAAAAAAATAAGAAAATGAAGTCAGTGAAAAGAAAACAGAACACAATATCGAAGCATAATTGAGCATTTACCAATATTTTAAAGATGCTAAACTTATAATGATTTGTCTTTATTTAAACATCTTGTCGGATTTAATCCCTTGTCTCTAATCATTTCCGATGTATGACTACTTTACAGGCGGCAAAAATATCGGTAGACAAAATTACATATATTCTTCCGGTGATGAATCCCATCTAAGATTACTTAAATTCGAATACTAAACGATTTGCTAAATTTTCTCAGATAAGGTATTGTAATTATTTATATTATTCGGGCTGCTGTCCTCTAGCTCTACGTGCCAGGCCTCTTCCGGATGTCTCAGTTATTTCTCTTTATCTCAACAAGTTTTTGTTCGCCACTGCAGTAGCGAAGTATGAAACAAACAACTCTTTGGGGCAAATCACTGGATCCAATGAACGTTTTCATCCGCAAGGCCATGTGTTCTTGAGCATGTATCGATGATCAAATTGAGTTCACACGGTTCCGTAGAATCTGGACGTCTTCCTGCCGTGTCGAAATAAAGGGTTCAGTTCGAAATTCCATTCACCTGAAGAAGGCCGGAGCGTACAACGGCCGAAACGTCGTGAATTTTGATACTTCTCTTAAAACTTGTTCCACAATGAGTTTACTCAATCGCACTAGGGAGGTGATTCGTTGGTTTCTCTGTGGATCTTGCATTCAATCTGTCCAGTGAGTATCAAATTTTCTAAACCCTCTTTCCTCATTATGTGCCATTCAAATTTCAATAATCTCTCCCTGACGTTATGTTTAAGTGTCCTTTTCGTTTAGATTTTCCTTAAAATTTCGTTATTGCACACAGGCCAGGTCCATGGTATTTGAATTATACTTCTGTAGAACCACATTTCTGTTGCATCAATCGTCTTCTTCATATTGAGATTGAAGAGATCGTCCAGTATTCAGAAAAAATAATATTAGTGCGAAATTTCATTATTTTTGTTCTAATATATGTTCTTTCGATTTGTCTCGGCGGAATATTTTATTATTGTAAACGCGAAAAAGATTTGGAAAAAATAACGTACAATTAACTTTCCCTTGTGTTATCTTGTACTGGAAACTATCAGTAAATATTGATATATATTTGTTACATAGTTCAACTTGTTGCTATTGATGATGATCTTCTTCTTCTTCTTCTTCTTCTTCTTCTTCTTCTTCTTCTTCTTCTTCTTCTATACGCCATGACTTTTCAGGACGTTAGCAAATATGGCGCTATACAATTTCTTCTTTTTTTGTAACTCTTAGGAAATGCCTTTTCGCTGTCTCTCCTAATCCCTGTTCTGCCAGCAATTAACACAAGCTCGTTAGTTAGGTTATACAATGTTTTTCTTTGTCCCGTTACATTTTACTATGACTTCTGAGTGGTTAAATAATTAAGCTTAGTTAATTGATAAAAAGATGGATACAATTAACACCTGAGATTATCTGAAATGGCAGTTGAAATTTCTAGCGCACATAAAAAGAGCTTAGACGATTTAGCACTTACATTGAAATGAAATATATATATATATATATATATATATATATATATATATATATATATATATAGGGGTGACCCCAAAAAACGGGAACATTTTAAAATATTAATAGTCAATTATCTCTCCCTGACTAGGCACGAGGAATATAGGAAGGCAGTGACGGATATGTTTAAACAGAGTAAGAGTTATCAAGGACAGGAAAATATGGCGAGCCATGATCGCCAATGTTCTGAAGTGAGATGGCACATAGAAGAAGAATATTGATCGAACTAAATATAGTTTTAAAGATATTTTATATTTCCAACAATTTTTTCCGACCGATTGTTGAAGAAGCCATGGGAAACAATCAAGTATCTGACAAAAATTTGGAAGAATATTGGAATGAAAACCTGAAAAAAAACTGTGTAGGAATATTTTTAAGGAATGACAGTGATGTGTAAGTAAAGTTTAATATAAGGAAGATGGAATAAGCGAGTAGGTAAGAAAGATGCTGAAAGAAAGAAAATAACATAAATGGAATTAAAAATGAGGTAAGGTGTTGACGGTAATCAAAGATGAAAAAGGAATTATAGAAGAAAAAAAAATGACGAAGCGTAGCACAATGGACAAAGCGCGGGAATTGAAGAGTTAGGAACAACACAAATGATGACGAAATATGTGAAGGGAAATGTGACACAAATGAGAAAAGCATAAGGAAAAAGCTATGCTGAG